AATAGGCATAAAGGCAACTTCACACCTTATAAAACATTTTTATATCAAATATAAATGAACATGTTTTGTCTTTTTGTTTCCGTTTTATTTTATGTAAGCCCTCAAACAGCAATGCAGACTACGCACAGCTGTTTACCCACAGAGATCTATCCACCAACACTGGTTCACCCACAAAGGACCCATCAAAACCCAACCTGAACCAGAGTCAACCAGAACCGGAAGACGAGATCCCGCCTGCCATTCCTTATCGACCAAATAACCTGACGGACTCTACAATCCTGCTTCCAAACAGCAATCCCAGCAGGCTTTATCCTACTTTGGAAGTTGAACTACATCACGTCCCCTCTCCAACCCCAGCCTCAGTAATATGACCTTTTATACTGATCAAAATATATGTATTAATCTATACCGATCAATCTGTACTGATCACAGCCGTTCTCAAAAGGCTGGCCCAAAGGTTTTGAGAACAAATGTAAAAAGATGCAAAGCATTAAAGCTTCGTCTTTGTAGCACATCAAACGTATTTGTAACACATATGTGTCGGGTCAGAGCTGTAGCCTTCGTTGAGTCATTAATAAAATGCTGGTTACAAATGTTCAAAGTATAAAATTACACATATTTTTAAAGTAAAATATTTAGTCAGTTTTTCACATGAAATTGTTAAAAAAAAAAAGGAGGTTTTGTTTTATTCCAAATAAACTAGTGCTGCAGTTTCTTCTGTCAATGGAGGATATAGGAGTTACTGGTAATAGAAAAGTGTATTTTTGTGCATAAATCGGTGTCAAAGTGAGATTTGAGGCTGTTTAGCTTGCACAGATAACTCTTGTGGTTTTGGCCTTAAATGCCAAGAAATTATATTTTTTTATACAAAAGTGGGGATTGGTGCATTTCCTGCCATTGTGGCACAACCAGTAATAAACTACTGATCATTATCCTCCTTTATGCAATCTTACATTTTGCTAATTTAGCACACTTCATGTTTTAGAGCTGTGATTTAGATGATAAAAGTAAGTTTTCAAGTGCCTTTAAATGTAATGGATGGTTAAATGTGCTTTATGCTTTATGACCTGCAGCCTGTTGCAAAGTCCAGGAAGAGATTTGAAGCCAGTTACCTTCCACCAAACCAGCCTCCTGAAGTCCCTTCTCGAAACAGTGTGCCCCAGAAGCAAAACCAGGCCTACATGAGAACCATCTCTGCACCCAGGAGTTTATTTACACCCTCTGCCCCCTCGCAACACCTCGGCTCCAATGTCCACCTGTTGAAGCCCAACGAGTGGAAGCCATTAGTCGTCACTAACTTCATGAGCCTCAAGAAGAAATTCCAAAAGAAGACAAACCAGCGGCAGGACGTGACTGACTCAGATCATGTGTACTCAGAGATTTCCATGGACACAGTTGACAGAAGGGAAGACACTGAGAACGAATACCAGGAGATCGCAGAGCTGGCGACCCTCGGCTCTTCACCCCATTGCAGTAGAGTTAAGGGACTGACTGATCAAGTGTTACCTCAAGAGTGTCAGTCACCTCCACCTTTTGCTCCAGGCTACTGATAAACATGGGGTTCAGAGACCCTGCCTCTTCAGAGACTGATGACGAATACACTTTATTTTCTGTCCAATAGTAAAAAAGGACCTTGTAAATCAACACAGTTCAACTACAAGTCGGTTAAAGGCAAGAAGAGTTGGTAAGGGTTGGGACTGACATGGCTCCATCCATCCATCCATCCATCCATCCATCCATCCATCCATCCATCCATCCATCCATTATCTTTACTGACTTTTTCCTTTTCGGGTCGCAGGGGTCAATATAGTGCCCAAATCCAACAGTCACTGTGCGAGAGGTGGGGTCAACCCTGGACAAATCACAAGTCCATCACAGGGACACATAGAGACAAACGAGACAAACAACCACTCCCCTCTCACCTATGAACAATTTAGTTACCAATCAGCCTAACATGCATGTTTTTGGTCTGTGGGAGGAAACCAGAGTACCCGGAGAAAACCCACGCATGAATGGAGAAAACATGCTAACTCCACCCAGAAAGGCAATTCTGGGTGGAGTGGGTGGGATTCGATCTGGCAACCTTCTCGCTGAGAGGCGGCAGCTCTGAGCCACCGTGCCACCCCTGACATGACTTAAATATGGCAAAGTAATTTTCAAAGCATCAAAATACTGAGTCTACGCCAGCTTTATTCATCTAAACTCATCAGCTGTTCGCTCATGTCAGAGATGTGCATTTCTCTGAATGTGACAAGGCTGAGAAGTTAAAGTGGTTTAAATCCTGGAACAGGAGCCCTCGTTACCTTCATCACATTAAAAAGTGTTGGCTACAAGTGCGTTCTCTGTTTGAAAAGTTCTATTTTCTTTAAAACAACAACAACAAAATAAAACACTGTAATGATTAGTCTGATGGTGACGTCGTTTTTTTTTTTTTTTTAGTTATTGTGTATTTTATTCACTTTCGCAGTGAAAAACAATCTTGCATTTCACTATTAAAAATATTTTATTGCTACAAAACCATAATAATGAGTAGCTTGTTTAGTGTCAATCATTCACAAACAACATTGTTATATATTTTGTACATTTATAAATAACAGTTTCCAAACTTAATGAAACCCATAAAACATTTTTTTGTTTTTGTAAAGGGATTTTGGTACAACTGATGTCATCTTGAAAGGGTGTCTCATTTCAGTGTACTACATATTACAATATACAGTACTATATATAATTTATATTTTATATATGCTGATAGGTTTGCAGCAATTGTAGCTGAAATGTTCATGTAGCTTAGCTGAATCAATTCATACATGTATTAACATAAAATCCATGTTTTAGATCTGCTTTGTGTTATTCTCGTCAAACTTGCCTCACAGGTGGAACCATGCAGGAAGTACTGTAGTTCCTGCAAATCAATATACTACTTGTTTGTAGTAAATGCTTGTTTGTGTTTATATCTAACATGTATATAAACAAATTATGATTGCAGTATTATTTTGCCGTGTGTGTGTGTTTCTGACTGAAGCATAATTCTGTAGGAGTTCATAAAATACTTTAAAGTGTGTGCTGTTTTTATTCCCCAACAAAATCTTGAATCTTTAAAATATTTTAATCTGGCCAAAATGTTTGACGCAGCGGCACCTCCAGAATTTTTTAACAGGATGGCCGTTTGAGGGACAATGAAAGTCCTGGGGTGGCACACCAAATTCAAAAGCCTGAACAGAATATTTGACCAATACAGTAAACAGGAATAAAGTAATCATCTTCTGATATATGTTGGGCAACATGTTTTTCATTGGTGCTGCCCCTCCCAGGGTAAACACATCCATAGGGAGCATGGACCAGAGTGACTGGACAGAGGGTAACCTAGGCCTGTGGAAAAAGGAGGCTGCGGCCCCCTGGGGGCCTCCAGGGAAGCCTCAGACAGCTGGAGAGAAGAAGAAGATAAAAAACAGCAAAAATAAAAATGAGTAATATTAATAATAAAAACTGCACACTAGGGTAATCTGTATCTGTCATTTCCAGATAAACACGCTTGAGAGAGACGTTATATTTCTTTTGTTTTGTTCTTCTGGTCAATAGTTTGTTGAAAAGTAGTTGTTGTTTTTTTTCAGAGGTAGTACAGTGTTTAAAACATGTTAGTTAATAACAAATTTACACTCAGCAGCTGTAATGATTAAATGAATATAGTGAATAAAAATTTAAACATTCTAAAAGTAGATTTTGATTTATTTTTTTTACATATTTTGTAGCATTTTTTGTGGGTTTGCGAGAGGGGCCTCAGCCAGATGCTACTGCTGTTTGGGGGGCCATGGCATGGAAACGTTTGGGAACCCCTGGCCCAGGCTATTGGTTGAAAGATGTTAGAAATGCAACTGCCAGGAAAAAGACAAAGAGGAAGACCAAAGAGGAGCTACACTATTGACGCAGTTTGACTCAAAGATATGAAGGTAGCTGGAGTAAGAACAGACCAGACAGAGAGGTGGAGGAGGATGACTTGCTGTGGCAACCCCTGAAAAGGAAACAGCTAAAATAAGAAGTAATAATAATAATGTGATTTTGAAAGATTCGTTTATACAACATAATAGGGGAACGTGCTCAGGAAGTCCAAAGTGTTCCAGCTCTTTAACCCCGCCCTTCTGGCTGCTGCTGTACATCGAAACACGCGCACCTTTCCCCTACAGGGAGGCGAGGTTACGTCATGTGAGAAGCGCTGGTTTCAGCTCGACGTCACTCAGCCTGCTCATGTAAAAAGAGGGCTGGGAAGTTACATTACTACAAGAACACTTTTTTTTCACGCTCACAGCTGCTTTGGTTGCGAGTGTAGCCGCTTTTTAGCTTTCATATTGTAGTTAGACGATGTCTTTCATCCCAGGTCAACCTGTGACCGCAGTAGTGGTAAGTTTGAAGGGAGGGTTGTGTCTATTGTTCTGGCCGACATTAAATGTTGACTCGTACAAACGCTGAATTAACTCGTGCTATTTCCCCGTAAGCGCTAAGTAGCTAAAGTAAGCTAGGTTTACTGACTTTACTGTCAGGTTGTCTGTGTACTGGAAGTGGAAACAATTTCTTAAACGTAACTTTAAACAAACATTTAACTAGCTAACTTTAAAGAAAATGTCTTGTTCAAAATGAGGCGTCACCCCCGCTAAGGTGTGACTGAAGCTTCCTGCAACTTTACAGACAAGCAGCATCGCTTCTCGCCCTTCTTTAAGTTAAAGTGCTACATAATTTGTGCACAAAAGTACATATGACTTGTTGTGAGATTCCCATATTCCCTTTAGCTTGTTGGATTAAAAGGTTAACTTCATATTTACTTGTCATTCGCTTTCAGTAATGGGTCCAAACGACTTCAGAGTTACACTTGTTGTGTTTGTTTTCATTTAGATATTATTTTTTCATCATTTAGTTTACGTCATGGCAGAAACCAAACACTAAAGTGACCGTAGTCTAACCAAGGGTTCCTAACCCTAGTCCTTGAGGAACACCATCCTGCATGTTTCAGTTGTTTCCCTGCTCCAACACACCTGATTCAGTGATTTAATTACTTCCTCGTGTTCTGCAGAAGCCTGTTAATCACCTATTTATTAAAACCAGGTGTGTCGGAGCAGAGAACCAACTAAAACATGCAGTATGGTGTTCCTCAAGGACCAGTGTTGGGAACCCCTGGGAAACCCCAGAGATTTATAGTTTACTGTAAAACTAAGCAGCAATTTCTCATTAATCAAAAGTCAAAATCAATAGAAGATTTGGGTTATTTGCTAGGAAATAGGCTATATTTTTTATTTCATTCCTCGCTTTAACAATTCGTCACTAATCAAATTCTTAATCTGTGCATTTTTTTTTTAACCGCTTGTTTTAATCACACTTTCCTCCATACAGGGTTTCATCTTTACTGTGACCTAAACTGTTGCTTCCTTTTTCATATGTAGAAAATATTTGCTCATTTATTTGCCAGAGGAAATCTGTCTAGTTTATAAAGCTTAAAAAAAAAAGAAGAAGGGAAGCTGGTTTGGAAATCCTGACTCACTTGACTTGATGAAGTCATCTTTTGGTTTCATTGTGTCAGAGAGACTGAGAAAGTCGTCTCACACACAGGCAGCTCTTGTGTTTGAAGGAGTCCTACTGTCAGAATCTGTCTGGTGTTGTGTGACTGCAGCTGCTTGTCACTGTCAAAGTAAATGGCTTGCACTAAAGTCAAGCAGTGCATTCACGGGGTCAAACCTTCCCGAAATCTGGGAAACTGTCATATGATGTTTCATTATTAAACTACATATACGTTTGTAAATGAGTCCTCGTGGCTCAATGAGACTAACTTTTATAAATACAGGTTTAATGAATAGAAAAAACATAGATAAATATTTCCTTCTCCTCTTGTTCTCATCTGTGCTTAGTGTTGGCACATGTTGGTGCCGGGTCTGAACAGGCCCTCTGGCTGACAGTGGGCTGTGGCGACAGACTAGTTCAGTTTTCCAACAAACATTTCAAAGCTAAAAGTAAAACCAACCCTTCCCGACCACAGTTTTTTTATGAAGATGCTTGTGGAAATTTTAATTTTGGATTGTTTTTCTTAAACAGCAACGGATTGAGATCCAGAAGTTGCGGCAGGGAGGTAACCTAATCCTGGGCTTCAGCATCGGAGGAGGTATAGACCAGGACCCTGGTCAGAACCCCTTCTCTGAGGATAAGTCAGATAAGGTAATGAAATATTCTGAAAACAACTAGTATTATACATGCTTGGCTGTGAGTTTATTTTATAATTATCTTGGCTTGAGTTTCCTGTTGGGGACACCGTTATTAAATTGATTATGACCACATCAATAATGCTGCTTAATTTGAATCATGGGGTGACAAAGTCTTACTTGTCTTGTTCCCGTGCACATTCTCAAGTGTTTATCCTGCAATGCTCATAAATAAATACAGTATCTCATTACTGAAGGTTCTGGTGCAGACTTATCTTTGATAAAAGAGGATCTTTATTCTTCAGGTAATATGCAAAAGAAACGTAACATAGTTGAGGAACATAACTCAAGACTTTTTTTTTTTCATTCAACTTTTATTTAACGACTCATTTACAAGAGAGACCTGATTTAAACAAAGAACACAGATGAGGTACAGACAACAATAGACAATCGTATAAAAAGCATATAACATGAAAAGTAAATGGAAGAAATTATATCAAAGCGAAACAAAAACAGTTAATTATAGAGTGATGTAAAATGCTAAAAACAGGAACATGTCTGCGCTGGTTTTTACCATGAACTTAACAGTTGTTTAAAATCCCTTGGGGTGGTCAAAGTTGAGAGCCTCAGATCTTTTTGCAAGATATTCCAGGTTACAGGAGCGGAGTAAGGGAAGGCTCTTTTGTCAAGTTCAGTCTGCACTGAGGGGGACGCTGCAGGTAATGATGTCCTGAGAGCCCACGCTGTAGCTGCACTCATGAAGTGACAGGAGTAGTGTAGGAGGAGATGTATGAAGGCAACAGACCAAGAAGTGATTTAAAGATGAAAATGTACCAGTGGGAGAGCGTGCGTGAAGTAAATGACCCGTTGACCAGTGAATACAGGGTGCAGTGGTGGGTATGGTAGTTACAGCCAGTTATGAATCTTAGCACACCGTGATAGATGGCGTCCAACTTACAATTTGATGTATGATCTGGCTGTTCTGTTTGGTGTGTTGTAAAAGACAAACGGGCCTGAACATATTCACATCCTCAGGTGAGATGAGCCAAACTCAGGGGTCATAGAAAAATAATGTAATATAACACTGAGTCCTGTCTAAACTTTAAGAAGATGCAGAAGTTGAATGGAGTTTTGCACGATTAGGATGCAGCGAGAGCAGGAGTGAGTCATGAGGTCTGAGAGATTTGTGATATTTAGGGCGTTTGGGTTTGGGTTTAGTCAGTTTTATTGTGTTTGAGTCAAAATGAGATGGTTTTTGAACATGAGCCAGAGGAGGACAGAACCATGGACCCAGAACCTCTCAGACAGAGGAGAGAATCATGAAGGAGAAAAAGTCCGAGTCAGACAGTGAGGACTTTGTTGGTGAAGAGAGTGATCATGATTTGTTTTAGAATAAGAAAGAGAGGAAAAGCAAACTGTGCCTGGAGAATAGAAGAGAATGTGGATGTTGACCCAGAGGGTGTATGGATGTCATGTAATGGAATGGAGGAAAATACACTTTAAATTACTATAAAATGAATATTTTGTCAATTAAAAGAATCCTGTAGTGTAGAGTTTTTAAACAAACAAACTTTTATTAAAGCATAAAAGAAAATTATTTATATTAATATTTTTACTTCAGGCTGAGATAGCTCTAAATGCCTAGTTTTTTGTGGAATGCATATAATATTTTTAAGAATTAAAATAAGGTGGTTGAAATAACATAGTCATAAAGTTAAAGGGTTAACGGTCTTATTCAAATGTTCACAATATGATGCTTCTGATGTTGATCGATTTCATGATCTTGTCTTTTGTTACAAAAAAACAAAGTGAAGTTTTTGAGCTGCAAATTCAGCTAGGCCTGCTGCAAGATAAAGAATAAAGATAAATTAATTGTGAAATAATTCTTTATTAAGGTAGATTCTTGAAAATGTATGTTATCTCGCTCTACAAAATTGATTGGCAGCTGCTGCCGATTATGACTTCATAACTCTTTTTTATGTCTGTGATGCTGGTAAGACATTTTCATCACTGATCAGTGTCTGAATTCACCAACGTTTTGGTTGCACAGAACATCTGTGTGTTTATTTTTGAAAATAACTCCAGCCTCCTACTCAAAATGTTATTGAGAATGCTGTCCACCCAGAAAGGACCCCAGCCTGAATTCTATCCAGCAACCTTCTTGCTTAAAGGCAACAGCTCTACCAACTGAGCCACCAGAGCATTGATCTCCATAACAATATAATTTATTTAGCTTGTTTCACTCTTAGTGGTGATCAGCTGTTGAACCAGATCATTTATTGTGTTGTGTTGCAGACGTAAAAAGATTCTTACATCAACTTTAATTTAATATTATAAAACCGTATTAAAGGTTGGGCAGTCTGGTCATAAATTTACTTTTCCCATTGGATCACAGTCCATGATTTAAAAGATGTAATTGAACTTATGTGATTTAATAATCAGTTGTCCGTTTGACTGACTCAAGCTTCCTGATGATAAAATCGTAAACAGGAAAATCGTGACATAATTAACTAGAATTCCCGTATTTATGATATATTTATATTTATAGATGTATTTATTATTTATTTTTGTTTTCAGCACAAGCACCTAATTATGTTGCCAACCTGTGGGCACACAATCTGTTTCTTTTCTTTTATGCTTTACCTTTCTGTCATTATTGTGGACTTATGGTGTTCTTGTTTTAGATTAGTGGATTATTTTTGTTTAATAAAATATTTGTGTACCTTACACAGCTGTGATGTTATGAATCTTTATGTGTTTGTCTTCTTTAAAGGGCATCTATGTGACCAGGATAAGCCCAGGGGGACCTGCCGAAGTTGCAGGTTTGAGGATGGGAGACAAAATAATGCAGGTGTGTGATTTTTAAAAGAAAAGATCAATTGCTGAACGATAAATCCACAAGATGGCACTGTTTGCTCCCTAAAGAGCCAGGCTCGAGCTTCCCTCTTACTGCAGTGTAAGAAAACTCTGCTTCCTCGCAGGTGAACGGCTGGGATATGACCATGGTGACTCACGATCAGGCTCGTAAGAAACTAACCAGGGAGAAGGAGGATGTTGTTCGACTGCTGATAACCAGGAAGTCGCTGGAAGAGGTTGTCAGTCAATCAAAGGGCAGAAACCCCAGACCATGATCAGCTGCGTCCAGTCACTAACACATCATCCTACAACTGAACACTGTCATGCACACGACACGAAAGATGTCCACTAATTCACTCCATGGTTGCACTGTGGCCTTTTATACTGACTTTAACACAGGAAGAGCTAAATGACCGACAGGAAGATGTCACCTCCGATTGTGTAGGTGACGCTTATCTGAAGTCTGGAAAAAAAAAATCTGAGGTCTGAATGTGTCAACACTACTTCTAAAGTCATCAGCATATCCAAGTGTAACTCTGTGTAAAGGATGAAACACCTGAAATTTGAGGAAATAAAAATAAAAGGGGGTCAAGCTTGACCTTCAGATTTCAGAATGGGGAATATAGTTAAAAAAAAAAATCTAAATATTAAAATGACCATTATACTGTTTTATTTTTTAGTTTGTTTTCTGAACATTGGCACAATGAAAAGAGTTTTTAAATGACAGTTTATAGAATACAACTTTTTGTTAGTGTGTAGACAACGACAACAATCAATAACAATTAATTCTCATTTAGCAAATATTTGCCATACCAAACCTTTCTTACAGAATTTATGGGAACATTTTTTTAGTCTTTCAATCATTTTATTTGACCAAGTAGAACTAAATAGATTTAATACATCTAGAAATATTATTTTTGCACATTATGTATTTAATGAGTTCCTTCGCTCATGCTTAAAATAACCCATAATGCCAAAGTTCAAACCAAGACACTGTTAAAGAATAAATAAGTACTTTAAATGCAGCTAAGATTGTTTTACATAAAGGTACAGTATATTCTGTAAAGTCTGTAATAGTATCAGTATTTTTTTGTATTCAAACATGTTTTCTGGTGACGTGTTTGTCTTGCATTTGGCTAATTGCTATTCTGAGTTTAGCTGATAACATTTCTGCATCTGCTTCTGTGACAGTAGCTAAAGAGGCAGATGTTAAAACCTGCTAATCTGCATTTTGTACAATTTTTTTTTTTCTGACACTGCATGTAGCTTTGATTGATGTGTGTTGCATGTTTTTGACATTTTTCTTAACGTCCCTTTATGATCTTTTATCAAGTCCAGAAGTGTCCAAATAAAGTCAGCTACTTTTTGATCAGCTCAGAGCGTGAAATGGATAAAACTGAACTCGGCATTGTGGATGTAGTTTTATCACTTTGAATGTAAAAACAGGCTTTTTTGTAAACAATACCACATCGTTTTCATTTGTTTATAACAGATACATGGATGATATATGGTTTGAATCTGAATCCTTTGTTTTCTTGATAAACACTAAACATGGGAGAAGTCTTTGATTAAATCACATATTTGACTTTATAGCATAAAAACTATCATTTGAATAGATTTTCTAATCTCAAATGTTGAGAAATAAATGCTTTGCCATGATTTTGACAAAAAAAAATTGTATGTACGTTTTTATTTGAGACAATTTTAAAAATAAAATACCTTTTACTAATAAAAATTGTACTTTTTCATTGCCAAATACTTGTTTCAACCAACAAAGTAAAAAGGCTAACTGCACTCTGTTAATGATGTCAAAAGGCACATTCTGCCTGAAAAACAAACAAAAAAAGATATACTTTGAAATTATTATTTTCATTAATTAATCGGACCATTATGAATATGTTTTTATACATTTCCACACAGTTTAACATTTAGACCTCCAAAATTCAAAGGGTAGACTTCCTCAAATCACTGAAATGAAACTGAACTTGCTTCATGACATATTTGAGAAAAATCTTTGATCCCATTCCAAACTCTTATGAAATACTTTAAATTCAGAAAAAAAAGGTCAACTTTAACTTTTTGGACCTCCATCTAAGCTCAGTGATTCAGCAATGGTCACAAAATGAGTGTCATAAAATGTCAATAAAAAAGCTGAATACAATACACATCACTATACTTATTAAAAAAAATCTATAACCTCGCCCAAAAGCAGCATCTCTAACCTCCTTTATTATTTTCACAGACCCTTCAAACAGCTTCAAGTGGCCAGTTATGAAACAACCAGCTGACATTTTATAGCAAAGAATCTATTTCCTGACCTTTCTGCATTTTCCAGGAGAGCTTTCTTCTCTTTCAGAACCCTGATTGAAGCCGTGGTGAAATAATGTGCATTCATACATACAGTATATCTGAGAGGACATTAGTCAAATGAAGCGCCCAATTCTCTTTTTAATCAACTGTTTTGCTTCACTGCAAGTTGCAGTTTATTATTTCTCGGAGAACGTGACTTTGTTGGTTTTGTGATGATAAATTTAGTCACATTAAACCAAACAAGTGAGTATAATGTTTAAAGTCTTAAACACAGGACGCATCATGGGAGAGGGTTGATTTAAGGCGAAGATGAGGTGAAATCATTCCTTTGAGGAATAATTGATGAGTAAACTTTGCACGCGCGTGTGTGTGTTTGATGAATAAAGGGAAGCACGCTCCATTCCACATCCCTGCACATCCCACTATTACATCATGCTGTAAGACAATAATGCAGCTGCACAAATATCACAGCCAGTGCGCAAGACTCAAAATTTTCATTTGCTGTCACTGATAATGGTAAATTATAAATGGACTGTATTTATATAGTACCTCACACTACAATCTGTGTTCTCATTTACCCATTCATACAGCACTACTAGATCTCTACAAAGAATAATCAGTGCTTTATCACATTCATACACTGATGGGACACATCAGAGGCAGTGAGGGGTTCAATGTCTTGCCCAGGGGAACTTCAGCATGTGACTGCTGGTGGAATCGAACCCCCAACTCTCCCATTGGAAGACGACTGCTCTAACCACTCAGCCACAGCTGCCCCCATGTCACAATGATAACGCATCACATGTTGCTAGGCAACTAATGGACAGCTTATAAATGGAGGCATTGAGCGTCTTAATTCAGTGAAGCAGCCACGGTGTGCAGTAATTCAATCAGCCTTTACAAATACAATATTAAGTTTGTTTGATACGAAATAGACAATTTGTTAGAATTAATTATTTGATAAATAAAAACGTTACTTATGAATCACAACAGATTAATTTTTTTTTATCATACCAAGAAAGAAATTACAGTTTACTTGAATTAAACTTTCTTCTTCTTGCACATGGTCAAGTCAAGTCAACTTTATTTATAGAGCACATTTAAAACAGAACCTGTTATCAAAGTGCTTAACAACAACAACAACAACAACAACAATCAATGAGAGTAAAATTAAAGAGAAAAAAAATACAATACACTAATAATAATAATAACTGAAGAATTAATAAAAAGCATTTAAAACATAGGGTCACAGATAAAAAAAAAAAACCCCACTAGATCAATTTACACTGTGGTTCATACATGATCCATTCCTCCCACGTTATGGCAGGATAATTGTGTTTCCATGGTGATGCAAGCTGTTCCCATCACTTTGTTCCTAAACCAGACTGGAAGCCCAGAGCTTCAGATTCATCCCGGTGATAGTAATGAGAACCTGCCTGAGATGTGGTGGGCAACGTATGAGCATTCAGCCTCTCTTTGTGTGTTTTTATCCCGTTCATCTGGAGCAGAGCAGAAAAGGACTTTACTGTAATGGGACTGATGATCATTAGGGTCACTAACCTTTTACATCAGAGCTTAAGCCCAGAGAACTTCCTGTATCATTCTCAACCACCCCACAAATCTCCAAAAATATGGAAAAAGTTAAGTGCTATTCATTATCAAAAAAAAAAAAAGAAGAAGAAGAAGTAGCTAATCCTGGGGTCCTGTAGTGTATCAGATTTTGTAAAAAAAAAAAGTGTATTTTAAATTTTAACCATTATGATGTGATTTTACATGTAAAATAAAGTTTGCCATGTCTTTTTGTGGACTTGCGACCCGTCCAGGGTGTACCCCGCCCCTCGCACAGTGATTGCTGAACATGGGCACCAGTGACCCAAAATGGAAGAAGCGGGTAAAAGATAATGGATGGATGGATGGATGGATGGATGTCTTTTTGTCTCAACCAGACTAGAGGTCTTTGGGCTCATTCTCTGGCTAAATGATAAATGAGAAACCCAAGTGCAGTTATTCAGGCTGTTCAAAATACGCAACAAAGGAAGTTTTCTGCAGAACTTGTTTTAAATAATAGAAGCACAACCTCTCATCTTGAGTTTTTAAAAACAATATTTTAATATATTTTAGAACGCTGAAGTTTTTCTTTCTGTGGAAACATTCTGCAAAGGAATCTGTTCTCACTGTATCTCACTACAATTTGCTCTAAGTGTGAATGTGTGTTAAAAACATGTACAAACGAGGAGCCATTTTTCCCTCGCCTTGCGTTCAGGCATGGTAATTTGTGATGTGTGGGCGTGAGAGTGAAAAGCTGGGCAGCTGGATGCCAGCAGGGTTACAAACGCACGAGATCCCTGGAGTTCAGCGATGAGCTGATGCATGTTGTCATAGCAATAACCACCGAGTGTTTATTCAGTGTGCTGCCTTCAGGAACTCTGATTGACAAGGAAGGATTTCATCTTTTTGGGATGGAAACATTGAACAATTATCCATTTGACATGAAGTCCATCAACTGAGAGATATCAACTGATGTTGATGGACAGAAAGGAAATAAACAAATAGATCATTTCTCCCCTTAACCTTGCCTCCTCCCACGCAGAACCCCTCAGGCGCTCCTCCTTGCAAAGCGCTACATCATCTTGTAACGCTGCGTACGGAGAGGATGATGAGAGGAGATACTGTATGTGTGGGCAACATTAGTTCATCATCGGCAGTCTGGTAGTGATGAAGACATCTACATGACGTTGTGAGGAAAGTCTCGGACGAATAAAGGTGCGTAAAATGAGTCTGGAATTAATGTGTCATTAAAAAACAACACTAATAATAACCTCAGTTTGTGTGAAAGTTGTGAGGAACTCCAGGTTCTACCACCTTCCTTGGGGGAAAAGTTGAAAGTTTATTTCTATTTCAGCTTGCATAACCATGATGCAGATTTTAATTGTTCTTTCAAATAGGTGTAATCTTAACTTTTTAATCTCACCTTCTTAAAAAATGATGTCAAAATGTGTCTAAATGGGGGGTGCTGCTAATTGATATGATAAAGACAAGTGTTTCATCTCCTACTGTCTTGTTTCCAACAATTTGTTTTCTAACAGGATAATTATTTGACACCCAACACATCTGAATGTCGACCAGGAAATGAAGATAATTGTTCATCATGACAATTTATTCATTTACTCATTTATTTAACAAATTTACACAAACAAGTTAAACGATAGAACTTAATGTCTTGCTTTCAAGCAAACACTCGTGCTTTTTCCTCAAAGATGTTTTTTCCCTCAGTTTCAGTCCCTTGTTCATGTTCATATTGAAAATGACTGTGCATTGTTTGTTTGTTGTTGTTTTGAACATGCCAACCATATAAAGTCAATCCTTTCAAGCAAGGAAGAGGGAAACAAAAATCAAAAGAAAAACCTACATAAAATAAAAAAGTGCACAAGTATCGCACCACTTTTGTTTAACTCATGTCCAAAAGGGGTGGGAAGACGTACATAAAGTCCCACCCCTTCACCATTAGTCGTTAACTGACATTAATTATGTCAGTGTTGATTTTATATAGCACATTTAAAAACAACTATGGTAACCAAAGTGCTTCACCCACAATCTAGCAATAAAGTAACATTAAAAACCACAAGTTTAATAAAATAAGTTTAAGAACAAGCACAAGGAACTCAAAATGAACTTGAATTAAAAACCAGAGTAAAAAAGTGACTTCTACGGTGGGATTTAAAGGACTGTACGAACTCTGCAGCATGAATATCAATGGGCAGGGAGTTCCAGAGTCTGGAGACTGCCACTATTATTACCAATCTAATTTCTTATTAATACAGCCACCAACAAAAAACTGTAGACATATTTATAATAGACAGATAGCACTACTAATACTTTCATCAAAATTTTACATAGATTTCATGAAAATAATTTCTTTATTCTTCTTTTTAAACCTTTTTATGTTGAACATTGCTTGAACTCGTTCTAATTCATGCTCAATAATCCAGGTAAAAAATCCAACAGAGTTAAATCAGGTCCTCTTTTCTTTTAGTTGAAACGTTTCGTCTTTCATCCAAAAGACTTCATCAGTCCCAGGAGCCACAACAAACTCAGTCTTATAAATAGTACCTTCACATAGTGGGTCTGCCAGTTTGATGGTGTTAAGTGTTGGATCATTTAATTATCCTGTCATAACTCATTAATCAAATGGCCACAAAGAGGACAATGAGAAGATCTTGTCAACCCAGGTTTAATCTTGCAAGAGGAGCAGCAACTGAAAAACAAGCAGACAAGGTGTTACATGTCGCTCTGACAGCATCAAGGGGCATCAACTTATACGCTTATCAGAAAAGGTAAGGTCAAGATAACTCTGCTTTCCAGCGTAGGGGCCTTGAAGTTTATCAGGTGCGCAGGCTCCACTTTGTTCAGACAAATCAACTCTAACTCACACACATGGTTCTATGACATTTGACATTAGTAAGTGAAAAACATCCATGACCTTTACATCCCCCATCACTAAAATGCTTTCTGGAGTCTGCTCTCTCCCCCGCCAACTCTTCAGGCAGCCATGGCCAAAGTGGTTCAAAACATCTGCCCATTATAAGATACAATGTATGAATTGTTATCAACTTCTTTATTAAAGCTGAATTCGATCATTGGATTTATGCACACTTCCATTTCAAGAGTTTGCTTTAAAAGTTGTTTGACCGTTTCTGAAAAGACTTTTATCATGACTTCTTGTAAGGACCGTTTAACAAATAATTTAATAATTTTTTCAGTTTTTCCAATTTTTAAAAAGCCAACATGGGTTATTTGAGCAAGGAAAACTTTTGATTTTGGATGTTTTGTTGAGTTGTTTTATAATATAAAAAATTATGTTGATATTTCAAAAGAAACGTGTTGCTTAGTGTTGAAATAGAGCAGGCTGAGGTCTGGATGCTTTTTAACTTTCCTGCTCTTGTCACAGACTTCCAAAGGCTGCCTATATACTATAGTAGTGTGTGTGATGTATGTGTGTGTGGAGGTGTGAGAAGGTCAGACAGTAGGAGAGGCCTTTTCATGTGTGTGTTTATGAGAGCAGAGCTTATTTTATCGCTGGGCTCTGGGCGCTCTCGCTCTAACAGGACCCTTTAGTGAGCGCTGCTCAGACTCAGATTGTTACCTGACACATACTGGACTGTTCCACAGAGGCTAGACACCATGAGTGGTGAGTAACTTATAGATAGATTAAATGATGCCTGTGTAGAAGAGGAATACTCATTATCCAACAAAGTTAAGTCAGGTTCTCTGGACGGGTTTGTTGAAACGTTACACATTAAACGTTACTCATTACAAGGTTTTTTCTCAATATTACTGATAAACCGTTGCAGTTGTTTGTTCCTGTGTGGTACGGTTATAGTGATGATAAAACAAGTCTTATGCAGAAGCCAGAGATAAAATCAAATCTCAGTGTTCTTGATTGTTTTAACGTTGTACAGTTTGAAGTGCCTCCTGATGAGGTATGAAAAGTGTGCAGCCCTCCAACCAGCTACGTTCACATCTCCTCCGTTAGTTTTGGGGTTTTATCAGATCTGTAACTACCAAAGCACTTCCTGAAAAATCAGAAAATAATAGCAAATATCAAAATAAGAGATGATTTGTTTAAATTTAACTTTAGTCTTTAGTGTACATACAAAGAGTTTGCCTCTTAACAAACCCATGAAGAAATGGAAAAATAACTGTTATTTTTGCAGCGCTCTTACTGTATATAGCAGTTTGTTTTTGATTTAAGGCTAATGTTAGCAAGAAAAAACTACAGCTTTTAAATGAACAACTTCAGGCAAAACAACTTTTGGTCAAAGCAGATGGAGATTTATCACCCATCAATAAAACATGAAATACATTTTTGCTGAAAATTATTTAGTCATTGAACATGATGTGTGTTTGTATGTATCTATATATCTATATCTATATCTATATCTATATATATCTATATCTATATCTATATCTATCTATCTATCTATCTATCTATCTATCTATCTATCTATCTATATATATATATATATATATATATATATATATATATATATATATATATATATATATATATATATATATATATATAAATTAATTGATTTATTTTTATTATATTTTATTTATTTATTAACCTTTATTTAACCAGGTAAATCCCACTGAGATCACAGATCTCGTTTGCAAGGGAGGCCTGGGTCTGAAGGCAGACTAACATGCATGTTTTTGGTCTGTGAGAGGAAACTGGAGTACCCAGAGAAAACCCACGCAATCATGAGGACAACATGAAAACTCCACACAGAAAGGGATTTACCTGTCTAAATAAAGTTTGGAAAAAAGACCCCAGGTCCAACCAGGGACTGTACCCTGGACCTTCTAGCTGTGAGGCAACAGTGCTAACCACTGAGCCATTGTGCCACCT